CCCCCCACCCCCCCTCCAGGTAAGGAACCGTATCAACGATTGATCGGAATTAACGTGACGCGCGCGTGTGACTCGTTGACTTTTCAACGCCTACCGTATCCGGCGATTACTGGTTAAGCGGTCGTGAACTTAAACGCGGCTGCGACCCAGTGCACGGCGGGGCGCGTTAAATGCGCGCGGGTGGAGCGACGCGCGTTTCCAGGACACCCGAGGGACCCTAGGACGGCCGAAGCATGGGCAACTGCTTCAGCAGCCCGACGGACGTGGAGAAGGAGAAGCCGGACAGGATCTGCAATCCCAGCATAGAGGCGGTCGCGTCGCAGGTCAGCCCGGTGCCGACGCCACCGCCTGATCCCATCAGGCCGATCCCGCAGATCCCGGACATGGACGTGACCACCGCCAAGATATTCGTCGCCCTGTACGACTACGACGCCCGCACGGACGAGGACCTGAGCTTCAAGAAGGGCGAGCACCTGGAGATCATCAACGACACGCAGGGCGACTGGTGGCTCGCCAAGAGTAAAAGGACCAGGCAGGAGGGCTACATTCCCAGCAATTACGTCGCCAAATTGAAGTCGATCGAGGCGGAGCCGTGAGTGCCTCCCTATTCACTTTCAATCGTTCTAGGCCGATGATAATCCTCCTCTGTAACGAAAGCGACGATTCGCGAAACGAGTGCGGGGTATTAACAATTTATTGTGGCCGGCGGGCGGACTCCCGTCGTTGATTCGCAGCAGAGCATTTTACAATTCTTGATAGGCGAAAGGGCGAAACCTGTCGTAACGCTAATTTGCATTTGCAGATGGTATTTTAGGAAGATTAAGCGAATCGAGGCGGAGAAAAAATTGCTACTGCCGGAAAACGATCACGGCGCGTTTCTGATAAGAGACTCCGAGAGCCGGCACAATGATTACTCCCTTTCAGGTAACGTCACAGAACGATATACTAGCGATTGTACCGGTCGTGCTCGTGATGCACCGACACGGTGCGATAACAAACGGACGAACAATGACCGGGCGAGACGGCGCGCGAAATCGCGCCGACCGCCGTTGCGGCCACAGCGGAATATTTATCCACGATTGTTGTAGTGCGCGACGGCGACACGGTCAAGCATTACCGTATCCGCCAGCTGGACGAGGGCGGCTTCTTCATCGCCAGGCGGACCACGTTCAGGAATCTGCAGGACCTCGTTGAGCACTACAGCAAAGACGCGGATGGCCTGTGCGTCAATCTGTGCAAGCCTTGCGTGCAGGTAAGCTCCACGGGTTACCGATACACCTCGGCTTCTCGACATAATGAACGCCGATACAGTTGATGGGCGACAACCACCCGTATTACCATTCGCTGCCGCTAACTGCCGTGAGAATCGCGGATTATGAGAATCGGCGTGTGGGAGCTTTAGACAGTGGCCTGCCTGAATAAAAACTTGGCATTTAACGCGCCGTACGTCATCGTGACGGCCAAGTTTCATTTGTCGCTGAGTTAGGCAGGTCTTTATCGATAATGAAATGGTACGCGCGGGGGGGGGGCTGGGGGGGAGATTTATGCATCGTGAAAATGCGCGTTTTATTTACCTCCGCGACTGCGTGGCGACTTTTAGCGGAAGTTTGTTGGTATTTAAGTGCGGAGTTGCATTCGATGAATCCTAATTGGCGCGCGCGAAAAGGAACGATTGTCGTTAGAAGTGATGTTAAAAAGTACACACGCACATATACCCACACAACAAATTGCAGCGGTAGTCACATATATCGATGAATTGATAAATCGGTCTGACATTTAATTCCTATCGGTATCTCAACAGCGTCGTAATGGCGTGTCTAAACTCGCCGATACCTGCGCAACGGCACAATCGATACGCCTGATTATTCGCCCCGATTATGATAATGGCAACAATCTCAACCAGCAATATATCATTATTGTTATACGGATAATATTATTATAGTATATAACAGACGCGTAGACATCTTTATACTATTATTGCGACAAATATTATTACATGCCTCGGTGGTCGAATTGGCGAGACGCCCGCCTAGAGTGCAGGGGGATGTCCAGGTTCAAACCCTGGCTGAGAAAAAATTGTTCGCAAGAAATTTTCTGCATTGACAGAGAAATTAAGAAATGCGGCCAGCCGTGGTCGAATAAAATTTGCAATTTTTATATTATTATCATCGAGTATGTATATCGTTATTATATTAATAAGACTATAGTATCTTTATGTTTTTTTTTGTTATTAGCTCTACACTATTTCGTTATTATGAGCGTTATTGCTACTGGTCGAGATATCGTTCTGGGTGCAGAACATTTACAACATATCAATTGCATTGATTACATCCGCAAATTTTCTGACTCGATTTGTTTATCCGTGGAAAGTCGCGAGTAGGGAGAGCCGGGGTAAATGAAATTTGGCACAGCAAACGAGGTATATTTACGTCTACGTGGAATATTGAAAAAGAAAGAGATATCTTTTAGAAGCGTTCGATAAGCACTTATTGCCAAGTTCGATGTCTGAATAGATTGTGTTTGTTTGTCTGTTTATTGCTTGCCCTACCTCCCGGTGGATTTTCTTGGTAAATTGAATGTCCTAATATACGCCATAACACGTTCTTTCGATTCCTTTCTTTTTCTCGACGTAAAACGCTTTTACATTTCATTGTGTCTGGCCTGTACATACAGCACAAGCCCGTGCTATACGGGATTATGTTTCAGAAGCAGTAGATTGTCATTCACTTAGAGATATCTCGTATAAAAAGCTCTGTACATTGGATGTAATTTTATATATTTACAACAACTTATCTCATACACCAATTCATTTAGCATCGTAGACCTCGCGAGAGGTGCAAAGTACACATAGGTAAATATAATTAAGAACCGAGATTGGCGGCACACACGAGGAAACGGCAGTCTTTCGCTTCACCGCGAAATATCGCTCTCGCTTGTGAATAACAATTTACGAATAACAATGTACGAACTCTTTCCATGTGCAAAGCGAGAACCGTAGCTCGGAATGTATGTGTGCTCGAGATCTATTCTACAATACATACAGGATGTCCCAAAAGCGTTTCCTACGTACGTGCCTCATCCGTTATTCGAGAGGCGAACGAGCGTAAATGAGCGTATGTGCATGCTGTTCCGTTTAGCCACCATATATGTACGCGTGTACCGGGCATTTCTCAGACTCGCGGCATGTCTTCTTTTCCTAGCTGCGACGTATTTCAGACATTCTGCATATTGTATCGCTCGTCATTTCATTTTCCTCTTCGTCTTTCGTCTCGTTTCTCTAAAATGCATATCTGTTGGAACGATCTCGCGATCACGTTCATCCGGAATCGTTATTGGGGTTCTTACACGATTGCAGGACACGGCGGAAAGTAGGTTTGTATTCGCGAACAGGGAAGTTGAGCGCTCTAGCACCTTTTTTTTACAGTGTGCATAGAATATTGTCTCTTTTACGCTTAGCCATAGAATTTTTTCTCATTAAGGAGAACGGAACGAAGTTTAGCTCGCCATTAATGCAGCCGATCAAACACCAACTCCTTCCCTGCACAAACTCAAGCCTCGCGCGAGTCTGTCCCCTAACCGACGACGGCTGATTCCGGGTCTGGCTTTGTTCAACAGGTGGAGAAACCCGTAACGGAGGGTCTTAGTCACCGTACGCGGGACCAATGGGAAATCGATCGTTCGTCACTGAAATTCCTGAGGAAATTGGGACAGGGCCAGTTCGGCGAGGTATGGGAAGGTCTGTGGAACAACACTACCCCGGTGGCGATAAAGACGCTCAAGCCGGGCACCATGGACCCGAAGGACTTCCTCGCCGAGGCGCAAATCATGAAGAAACTCCGACACGCCAAACTAATTCAATTGTACGCTGTGTGCACGATGGAGGAACCGATCTATATCATCACGGAATTGATGAGGAACGGCAGTCTACTCGAATATTTACAAGGTACGCAAGGTACGGTTTCATTCCGACTGGCCCTTTCACGATCATTGAGAGAAAGAATATTCGCAAGATAATTTTGTACAAAAATACTCGTTAGTGTTCTAAATTGAAGAATTGACCGATATCTCTAATTATTATTTTTAATTGTTTTTTTATTATATTATCAACATTTCAACACTTTATTGTTGTCTGATAATACTCTTGCTACGAATCTAAAAACTTGGGAGCTTTACTCCAAAAAGGTATGACCTCTCTGCCGCTCAAAAGACCAAGTATTTCTCAATCGAGTCCAGTTGCATATTTTACTTGCTCATTAATTTTGCAAGGTGCCGTCCCGAAATACCGTTACAAAATCGATAAAGCTAATGTTTCTACAGTCACATCGTTTCGTTACGTTATCGTTGTAGCAATCATGTGTGGATCTTTTAGGAAAAGGTCGAGGCCTAAAATTGCAACAACTGATCGACATGGCCGCGCAAATAGCCGCTGGTATGGCGTACTTAGAATCGCAGAATTACATCCATCGAGACTTGGCCGCCCGTAACGTTCTCGTGGCAGACGGAAATGTCGTTAAAATCGCGGACTTTGGCTTGGCTAGGCTCATCAAGGAGGACGAATACGAGGCTAGAATAGGGGCGCGCTTCCCTATCAAGTGGACCGCCCCCGAAGCTGCCAACTACAGCAAATTCAGTATTAAATCCGACGTATGGTCGTTTGGTATACTCCTTACCGAATTGGTTACGTACGGTAGAATACCTTATCCAGGTGAGATCTTTGAAAACAAAACTTATACTGCTATTGCATAAATATTTCTAACACAATTGAGTCGGTAAAACATAAACACGCCATTCTTCTCCTCAGGTATGACAAACGCCGAGGTTCTTCATCAGGTAGAACACGGTTATAGAATGCCGTGTCCACCCGGCTGTCCCGACACGCTGTACAATATCATGCTGGAATGCTGGAACAAGGATCCTATGAAACGACCGACTTTCGAGACACTTCAGTGGAAACTTGAGGACTTCTTCACCATGGAAGGTTCCGAGTACAAGGAAGCGTCTGCGTATTGAAGAAAGGATTTCGAACTCTTCCATATTGCTCCATTAAGAGGTACGATAATTGTGCCGTCGTCAGTGATCGTCGTTACATCGACGGCGATCGTTGCGATCTTCTTCATTGATCTATTTGTGACGCTAGTTTTCGCGGTACTTCTGAAAAGGTGCCGCAACTTTTATGCTCGAACGATTACGATCACTTTGCGAACGATCAGTAGACGATTGCATCGTTTTATTTAACAGTAAATTTTTCTTTCCTTTCTCTCTCCCTTTCTCTCTTTCCATTCTGTTTTCCTTTTTTTACGTTCTCGTCATCGCACATTTTGTCTGCCATAAATCTCAAAGAATGATATTTGTACATTTTTATCTATATGACTTGACGATACAAACGTACATTGGCATTTTGATAGCTTTACCAGAAGCGGCGACGAGGTTTTAGATATTGTTTTAGACCGCAGTAAGGATGTTGTACATGTAGACGTTAAATGGCCTTTGTAAAATCGTTTATAAGTGTCAGTTAGCGTGAGAGGTAGACCTCGATCATCAGGGTGATAATTCCGGGTGATGATGATGGTAGCCGATGTAATATATTTGTGTACAATATAAGTTGTACTTTCTGTATTACAATTCCTGTATACACTATATGGCGCGACAAAGGGTTGATTACCTGATGAAATCGAACCGACAACGTTAGAGACGAAACGACGGACCATAAATGCACAACTTTATCATTCCTTCTTTCTTCTCGCTCGGGCGTGACACGAATTAATTGCGACGTACTCCCACGAGGCGGATACACGAGAGTCGTCGGCGAAGCGATTTCGCGCGCGCCGTGTGCACGCATGTGCGAAGATCGGGGGATATACAACCGGTCCGTCCAAAACAACGCGAAAGACTGCGTCCTGTGGCGACTGTGTCTCGAACGACGTCATGTCCTATTCGTTTATCCCGTCGCGAAAAATACCGACGCGGTAAATACCTGACACAGACTGCCAGCTAACGTTTTCTAAGGTACACTTGTTACTTATAACGTGTAAGAGATCACTTTTCGGAAGTATACGCGTGAGAGTATGCGCCTGCCGAGTATCTGTGCATGAGAAATGTACGAATTTGCTATGGAAGGGAGAAATCAGTCTACTTCCGTCGTATCTTTAAGTACTCTGAGAGGAGGATGTACATCACGAATTACGTCATCTTCGTTAATCATCACTCGGATATGTTCATGTTATCGAATTCGTCATTTTTATATATTTTTATATATATATCGTGTCTAATGTTTTATTATACTCATTTATCGCGACTTTTCACGTTTGTGAATGACTCAAACTTGAGAATAATTATTATTACGCGTAAAAATACAATAAGTCGATAATATTAGACATACTTTATAAATGTATGACTCCATAACGGTAAATGATGTAAAATTATATAGATATTTTAGCAATATTTTGATCCCATTTGAAACATATGCGCAAATATGTATGGAATGTGCCAAAAACCATCGCCATTCCTTCACTATCTACTGATTCTCCTATGGATTTAGAGTCGATTTTTCCACGGTTGAAATAATATCGGTGGCTATCGTATTAGAGCCAAGCGATTTAAGCAATTTTTTCACAGTGAGTGTTTTAACAGCAAAGACTTGGGATAACTTTTGTTATTCTATCGTTGAGGGACTTGTTGGGAAAGATCGATTCTAATTTCGTCAGAAAATAAGCCCCGGGAATTTTATGCAAATTGTACAAAACATCTCAACATACAACACGGGTGTATATGTATGCGTATGTATGCACGATATCAACTCTAGCATCCATCTTCTGTTCTGAAATCAGAGCTGTGTTAATAGTACCAAATTAATCGCAAATTTCAAAGAAATGCATGTTTACGGACAGTATCACTGTCGGATAAATCTTTGTAAATCTTTGCAATATCGTTATCTTCTAGACTAACGACACATCGACCAACTTCCGGTAAGAAGTATGATTTCTTTCAATTAAGTCTTATCTCACATTTCTTTGAAAACATTTAATTTATAAGAGAAATTCGGGAAAAGCGAGCAATTATATATTTTAAAGCGACGAAATTTATTAAATCGTGTGTATGAAATCTATTCAGGATTATAAGTTGTGACCGCATTGCACTAAGAAATAAGATAAAAATATTATCAACTATATGTAATAATAATAATAATAATGAAATGTAATGCAACGATTGCAAGCACAAAACGGATGAAAGTTTACTGAAATTACTGTTAATTTTTATCCAGACAAACTCTTCTTTTCTGTAATTAGAGGGGAAAACAGTTTCTCTGTCGAATAATTATATAATAGGAATCTGTGGCGAGTGAAAATAAAAATACTTTAGATGTATAAGAAATAATTGATAAAATAAACGCAACAGTTTTGTTTATGAAAATGAGATTATTGACCTCCTTACCGATTATGTTCTATCCCCCCCCCCCCCGATTTTTCAGAGTTTGGATCTCGGTCGCTAATTTTAATTTTATTAAATTTTAAAAAGTTCCAAAGAGAAGCATGTGCACTATTATTAATATGTACAATTATGTTACATACCCTTAGAATTAGGAACAATGACGATATTGCACTTCCATTTAAACACCATTCGATTTGTCGATAATTTCTGCGAGCGAATGTCCGACTCTTACCTAGTAATACTTTATTGTTCTTTTAGAGTTTCGAAAATAAAAATTTTTGATCTTAAAATCAGACTGTTGGTAAGGTTACGCGTGACTTTACGAACCGTCGATACAGAAGATAATTTTTCTTATCCTTATATTAAAGAAACTTCACAATATCTTACAAACTGCAAGTACCTAAACCGCGAGGAAAGTATTAAAAGAACATAATTGACTAACAACTAATGGAGGCGGAAATTACATCTAGCTGGGCGCAACGCGCCCAAGTATATCTGAATAAAAATACGTGCGTACACACGCATAAAAGGAGCCAAGGTGCAGATTGAACGTAGCCGCACTGGTGGTGTCACACGGTGAATCACTAGATAGAAAATCACCAGATCCTGAGGCGCGCTCAGCGACAGGTGTCTCCTGGCATACAGGTGTTCTCTTCAGTCGGCCAGTGGTGGTCAGCGGCGCGCATTCGTGCGTGCGTGCGTGCATGCCTGCGTGCGTGCGTGCATGCGTGCGTGCATGCGTGCTCCGTTCCGTTCCGTTCCGTACCACTCACGTCGTGGCGCGGGGAAGGACTGCTCTCCTCTCCTTCGCGGGTGCGTCGCCGCGAGTTCCGTTCCGTTTCGCGGCCGAGACTTTTCCTACGAGAAAGTGATATATCGCGGGCGACGCGTAGAAACGCGGCGCGACGCCGTGTGTCGGAGCTTTGAATAATGACTCGGCCGAGGCGCAAAGTCATCGACTCGGGAATACCGAGAAGAGAGAGGAGGTGAAAGAGAGAGAGCGAGAGAGCGAGCGAGAGAGAGAAAAAGATCCCTCTTTTTCTCCCTCCTTCGTATATCACGCTGCTTTCGAGTAAACGCAAAATTTTCACATGCCAACAGCGATCTACGCGCACGCCCGATCGATGGAAGGATGGACTCGCGCTGCACTGGGATATTATGTTAATCGCCTTTTACGGTCAGAATGAGGGAGGAAGAGCTCGAGATATCACTCAAGGTAATCGCGAGGCTCCCGGTCTCCTCTTCCGTTCCCTCCAAGTTTCGTGCGCGCTCTCTCTCTCTCTCTCTTTACCGCGACCTTTTTCCTTTTTACTTCTCTTCGTCTAAGTTTCGCCAAATTCCGCGGACGCGTCCGCTTCGTTGCGCGCGAGATGCGATAGAGCGCGACCGAGGAGGCACGGACGTGAGCATTTTTTCTCTCATTCGCGCTTCGTCGTCCGCCGCGATTTTCCGCCGGAAAGGAAAGCGCGGCTTCCACGGCATCCCCGTCGTAGCGCGTCGTCATGCTACGCACGAAGTTACTATCTCCCGGTGCGCGAGGCCGCACCTCGCCGATTCTTTTTATTCGTCTGCTCGAGGGCATTCCTTCTAACGCTCGCTCTCGACGCGACGGATGACTTCTCCTCGAAATAACTCCTTAACTTCGGTGTCCGTCTCCCGCACGGCAACTCTTTCCGCGAAGGGGGAATTGGGAGCGTTTTTTTTTTGGTTTGTTTTCGAAGACTGGACTCGGGACTGCCAGAGATATCTCGATCGGAAGAAGTACATCCGTGTTGTTATCTCTCGTTTTCAGCCGAAGCGAGAAAATAGGATTTCGACGCTCGCTTTCTCCGCGATACGTATTCGCGTATAAGTGGCACCGTTATCGATGTTTATTTCTGTAATAATCATCTGGCACATTTGCACGCAAATTAACTTACTCGGCCGTATATTCGCGACACTCGCGCCACAACATTTATGCGCTGTAAACCCCTGTTATGCGATCGCATATTTTTCTTCTTGCCGATACGAAATTCATTAACGCCCAATTAAGTTCGAGCCGAGGGTTCGCGATCTCGCGGCGAATCGACTCGATAAATTTCGCGGGCGATCAATGCCCCGTTTCTACCAATGCGCAGCAGTCCAATTTCTGAATCTGGAAAAGGATCAAGAGTAAGTTAAACTGTGATCAAAGTTAATCTGCATCGGTAGAAATGGACATGAAACACGCAAGGTGGAACTCGGCGTGCAGTCAACTGATCGCCGAAGAACTGACGAGAAGAAAAAAATCACATATACACACACGTACCATGTACAATACATAATTAAGGAATTAAGGGCTGGTTGTTCCAATCTCTTGGTAAGTTAACTAATACCCAGATAACATGCTTGTCTAAAAGACATCTTCAAAACTTCTTTAAGACGTCTTTAAGATATCTTTTAGACGTGTATGTCTAAAAGATGTCTAAAAGACGTGATAAAGACATCTTAAAGATGTCTTTTAGACATGCATGTTATCTATCATAGTGAAATCATAGACGAAAGTCCCCTACTATGAGATAAGCTCCTAATATGAGATAGCGGAGTTTCTCGAAAACTGGCCAAGTATCAGGAGAACATGATCGGTAAAGAGGTAGCACTATCTAAATTTCCAAGAATTGGAATTCTGGAATTTTCAAACTAAATCGCGAAAATCGAAAACTGGGGAAAGTATCAGGAGAATATGATCGGCAAAGAGGTGGCACTATCTAAATTTCCAAGAATTTGTCAACTTTTCCAAGAATTGGAATTCCGGAAATACGGAACTTGAAATCACGAAGATCGAGAATCTCGAAAACTGACAAAGTATCAGGAGAACATGATCGGCAAAGAGGTGGCACTACCTAAATTTCCAAGAATTGGAATTCCGGAATTTTTAAACTTTAAATCGCGAAAATCGAGAATCACGAAAACTGGGAAAGTATCAGGAGAACATGATCGGCAAAGAGGTGATAGATATTTTTGCAAAAAAATTAATGTTTCAACGAAAATATAAAATTTTCTACAAATTTCTATTTCAAGTCAATTTTCGTAGTTATTTATAAAAATTTTTTCCGCTAGGGAAGAGACAGAGAATCGACTCTAGTTAACAGTTAACCAGAAAATGAAAAACCAGGCCTAAATCAAACAAAACCTCTTGGTAAGCTAACTAATAGTTAAATTATATGTCTACCTTCGTCTGAGTTAAAGGAAGAACAAAGACATACATATGATTTAACTATTAGCTAACTCAAGAGGTTGGAACAACCGACCCATAGACATATAATTTAACTATTAGTTAGCTCACAAGAGGTTGGAAAAACCGGTCCTAAATAATATAGTTTCACGTAATTTTAGAAATAAGCGAAACTTGAAATGGAAAGACGGTAAAGATGAGGATGAACTTTATTTACAATCGTGATATTGGCCGATGAAAAATGCCGAAAATGAAGTTTATGCGACGAGTTGTCCGGAGCCGTTACGCGTCCAGCTCTTCGATTACAGCCGCGCTGCAAAGTGGCAAATACAAAAAGAAGGAGAAGCGCATGCGAGCTCGGTGCTGCTCCAGTGATCTCTGCTTATCTCCCGATTGCCGGTAACGGTACTTACTCGCGTTTTCATCGCTTACGCGCCTCTTGCCGGGGACTTTACGCATTTGCGCGCACTTCTCATTACTATTTATACAGCGTGTCTCCTGGCCGAGATATCGCCGACAGCGAGCTTTCTTACATCTTTATACGAACGTGTTTCAAATTCCACTTGAAATGAATCAACGTCACGCTATCGACTTATCCCATTTGCCGCGCGGCAATTTCCAGTCGCTAATTACACGAGAAATCCATACGCGACTCCGAAGCCGAGAAAACCCTACGATCCTCTCGCTCTCCCGGTACACGCAGAAACCAGTCGAACGCGGAGAACACGATTTACCGCGGTTTACAGCTATCAGGACGGATAAAGTCCGAGATAAGGGTACACGTGCGGAACTCTCGGGGAAAAACTCTGGCACAGATTCGACATCGTTTCATCGATGTTTCAGTGCTTCGGCACCTTTCGGTATGCGGACATTCCTGAAAATTCTCTCGCCGTAATGAGCTATACGTGTCGCTTTAAATTGTAATGCCTAAACCACGTCGGTAGAAGCGAGATTGCCCTCGGCGACCGGTTTTTATTTTATGGACTTGTATCTTTATCGATGTAACCCACTTCCTCACGCGCCGTCGTACTTGGCAGAAATTATTTCAACCGTGATCAATCGAACCTCCATCGTTCGATCGATGGTTATTAAGCATTTCAATTAATGGAGTAATATATAACTACTCAATTATTCTAATTCTCTTGCTCTAAGTTAATTAATAGTTAAGTCATACGTGTGTGTTTGTTTTTTTTCTTCAAATTAGACGAGGATAGACATATAATTTACCCTAGTAGCACAGTGCATTGGCTAAATATTGGTCCAATGTTAGTTATTATACATTAGAAATGCATTGGCCGATATTGTCCAACGTAAAGTCAATATTGGCCATGGAATAAATGTAAATGTTGCACGATAATAATTATATAATATTAGGCTTATATTGGAAGTGCATTGGCAAATATTTAACAATGCAATAACATTAACATCCCTCGCTTAGGTGGTGATAGTGGGCAACGGCGCCGTGGGGAAGTCGTCGATGATTCAAAGGTTTTGCAAAGGTACATATACGAGGGACTACAAGAAGACGATCGGCGTCGACTTCCTGGAGCGTGAAATCGAGTAAGTAATTACTGGACGTGTTGAATCGTTTCAATATTAATTTAATCCGACACCAAGTGCGTCATCATTCCGAGCAAGATTAAGTCTACTTTAAAATTTACCCTGAAAATCATGTAATTGTTGGACAACGTGGCATTTTGTACAATTTTATGAGATTTTTGTGAAATTTTACTATTCCTTTTATTAGTAGAATGTATACTAACAAAAAGTATGGTAAAGTTTCAAAGAACAACAAAATTTTTAAGACTTATCGCCAGGAAAACTATATTATAGAGTATTGCGGAAGAGACATATCCGATTGTGAAATATTTGAAGTAAAAGGGCATTTCGACTGATCTCTTTTGCAAGGTCGTACCTCGATTTTACGCAATTTTGGTTCTAAATGAGCGTTAAGACAGAAAAGCCGAAAATTGTGTAAAATCGAGATATGACCTTGCGAGAGAGAGAGAGAGATCAGTCGATTTGTCTCGTGTATTTTTTTTTTAACGTAATCGCACGACGAATGCTAGTGCAGAGGAATTAAATCGATTCTACTGTTGTATCAACCGATCTGATTATTCGTTGCTGATCATCATACCGCTATAATACGCGTATACCTATACACAAGTTCGAGAGCGACGTGCCTGAGAAAAACCCGATTTTAATCGTGCCAGCGCGAGCTACCGTGGGATACTTCTCGTATCCCCCTCTCGACACTGACTACCAATGTAATGTCGGTCAATATAGGAAGGAATTTTGTCTCGCTGCACGTATCCATTCTTTATCCATCTTGTAATTAGTCGCTCCTCGCGCGTCTAACAATCGTATAAATCACAATAACAATTTGATTCTTAACTTTTAATTTAAAGACTACATTCGCGCAAAGAAAACTAAGAATATAGATAATTAAAATTAAGCAGGGTCAGAATTATGAATTTCGCGACAACAGTAAAACATTCAAGAGAAAATCTAAAAATTTATTTTTTCCTAAGGTGAATCAAATTGTGTAGTAAAAAATAAATATGTAGAAAAATATACGTGTTTGTGCCGACAGAGTGGACGACGAGGACGTAAGACTGATGCTGTGGGATACTGCAGGACAGGAAGAATTTGACGCGATAACCGCGGCTTATTACCGCGGCGCCCATGCCTGTGTCCTCGCTTATTCGGCTACCGATAGAGATTCCTTCGATGCTATTCCCACGTGGAAACTCAAGGTACATATCTGTAAATTACACTTAAAGTTAGTAGAAGAATGGTAAGTTTGTTATTTATTCGGTTCCCCTCAAATTTACTTCGCTTCAAAGTCTTTCCATCGCTTATTAAAATTATTCGACAACTTTGCTAATGGCTTGACACTTTTGACAAGGGAACATCGACTCCAAACGGAAAAACTCTACTTGACTTTTTGGACACTCTAAAATATTCTCTTACAGGTCGAGAACGAGTGCGGAGAAATACCCACAGTTCTGGTGCAAAATAAAATCGATCTTGTCGACCAGAGCGTGATCGATCCGTGAGTATACCCTAGACAGTTTTCATTGCAAAGTTTCTTCAGAGTGAAACTCGTGTCTGAAGCGCCCGAATATTACAGGGACGAAGCCGAGAGGCTCAGCCGTGCCTTAGGCTGCAAACTCCTGCGGACGTCCGTGAAGGAGGATATCGGCGTAATGAGCGTCTTCCGACACTTGGCGTCCCGATGCCTGCACGAGATGCGTCGCTCCGACGACGACTATCGAGACGACTTGAGATTATATTCCGCGGAGCCTAGATCTCCTTCCGTTATCAGTACGAGTAGATTCAATAGTTTTGCAGACGCTAGCTCGTGCACCCTAGTCTACGAATAACGATGCATTTTTTTCTTGTTTACAGGTGCGTTTAGTCCGGATGGGTCAATGTGTGGTCGTAACACTGGTAATGGAACGATAATCCTCCGACCCGGCGGTAAAACTAAGAGTCATAAGAAACGAAATTTCGTAAAAAACGCTTGTAGACTCTTGTAGCTATTTCCCGTAATGTACGTACGACGGCATTACATCGCGTTCCGAGAATCGCACGAAAACGTCGAAGATACGGGTGTCTTGTAAATATATATAGTTTATTCTCTGAAGGCGTAAACGCGGACGGTGATTTACAGTGTCCGATAGTGCGAGCCTATTGTATTCTAATTAACGGCCTTTACGACGGTTTCGTGTATAAGAACACATGATACGCATAACATTTGGGAACTCATCAATTTAAACGCAATAGAAATAATCATTATAATTATGCTCATAACGTTAACCAAATGGTTGTAGATTGTAAGGTACGGAAAGAGATTAATCGCAACATATTAACTGCAACTATGCGTACTCGCAAATGCGAATGGGAATAGCGATGTAATACGAATATGACGCGTAATTTGTAAATATCTCGCCATACTATCATATATATACATATATATATATATATATTGAATGAGTTATTAATATTTAAATTGCATCACATTCAAGGACCAAAATTATGAAATTAAGATTTTACTGTCGATATGAATATAGTATTATATAATAACGACAATAATAGTAATATAATAATCGTTATTTACAGATTAGCGCGTCGATTACTTAGACTATTCAAATCCAATGACTCAACATCAGCTCAATTTTGCAAATTTTTGAAATTTAAATAAAACTGCATCTCAATTATATATTGTACCTCGAGACTTTTGTTTCTTTAATACTGAATATTGAACTGCGGCGTCATAAATGAAAACGTAAATTTCTTTCTTCTTCCACGTATGACTGACGTCAGAATTCAATTTGATTGTAGTGAGAAAATAGGATCCTTAAGCACAAGCAAGTTAGTGTAAATTACTGTCACCTAAGACAATATTTTACAATAAGTTACTTAATAACTAATGCTATACTTTTACTTATTTGTAATATTACAAAACGCAATAAAATCTCTGTACATTTTGCTAAAAATAAAACGATCTTTGATAAGTGAAATACTGAGAAAAAAACGCCATAAAAGAGAAAAAATTAATTTTTTTAAATCCAAAAATACAATTAACAAAATATATCCCGAATCATGTAAGAATTAATTTTTGATAAAATTAATTAACCGCTCGTTACACTCGAAACTGACCAATAGCTGCTACTTCGCAAAGTAAATACACAAATTTATTAGAGTGAGAGTGTAAAGAGGCCCATTAACTTTATATTTTCAATATTACATGATTGACATAATATCTAAAATTCTACAATTGCAGTACACATACTCCAGAAATCCCTCTTTTATTCCAAAACGTACAGATTTGAAAAATGTTATCGAACGCTCTTTCAAAACCTTCTTTTTAAATTTTTTTTTAAGTGCTGAAATGCTAGGTGTCTTAAAATATGTTCAGGAATCGTACAAACGCCGAGAATCGGTAACACGCCGCTACAAGATTAAATCCAATCGATCACTGTGCGTTCTGTACACAGCCAAGCGTTCCATTCAAAGTAGTTATTCGCGAAGTGGAAGGAAAATAGAAACTTAGCCGCGCAGAAAAGGCGCAAAGAATGTATCTTTTCGAAATCCCTTAACTCGCTACAACAGAGCTAGACCGCCGAATAGCTTTGCCATTCGAAACTTGTATGGAAAATGCTGTAGACTTGATCTACCAAACAATCTTGGTGTGCCATTTACTGTGTCATCTCCAAAATGTGCATCTTGTCGATATAATCGAGCAATCCCTGCAGTCTCTTCTTGACTCGCTTTTGATCGTCCAACGTGCAGCCGAGAATGGCGGTCTCAAAAACTTTGTCGGAATGTCCTATGCTATGGGAAGAGCATGCGTTCATGAATTCTGCGCATCGCTGCCGAGTGCTACTTGGATCTTGTCGTAGACCTATGACCAAGCTGTCAATCAGGCCATTAACCTAGAAAATAATATTTCACCGGTTATTGGATAATAAAGTGATACCTCTACAGGAAATTGTAATTGAGTCCCAAATACCTGATGTAACGCCTCCTGCTGAACATGATCCCGTTGAACTGTTACCAATACGTCCACAGTGGAGCAGCGCATGGACAATCTATCTGCATACCTCAAGATATCGTCCCTATCAGCTGGATAAAGAAATGACAAGCATTTTTACATCTTGATTCAACAAGTAGCATTTAACATTGGGGCATACGCTAAACGTTCAGACAGCTGAAACATTTTCCGCCTTAAGTAATCCGCGTGCTCGTCCCGTTTTAACACTTCCCTAACGTTCTTCCAGATTTCTTTTCTGCCAAGGTGAAAAGCGATTGTACATCTTGTAATAATTATCAAATACACGCGCAACACAGACAAATATTTACGTGGCACTACACTAGTCACAGAATAAAAGATGCCTATCGTTCGAGTAGCAAACTTTCTCTCTCTCTCTCCCACTCCTTCCATTCGACAATTCTAATTTTTATTAGACCGAAGCTAATATTTACGTTGCACTATACTAGTCACAGAATAAAAGATGCCTATAGGCCTGTTCTTTATTACTGCACTACTGAACTAGTGCAATAAGTTAAAATGAAATAAATAGATTACCTCTCATTCCAACTCATTGCACCAGTGTGCACTAGTTCAGGAGTGCAGCAATAAAAAACAGACCCTATCATTCGAGTAGCAAACTTTCTCTCTCTCTCTCCTTCCATTAAATAATTTTGGTTAGACCAAAGTGTCCTGGGGACTGATCAGGGCAAGGTAAATGAAGTGGCCCACTCACGCTCCTCGAGGGTGAACAGCATGTCGTTATTCCTGAGGGTGTCCAAGGTCGTCAACAGGCCGTCCTTCTCCTCCATGAGCCTCGCGGCATCCTTTCGCAATTGCTCTACGTGGGCCTCGATGTGATCCAACAGGCCGACTAACCTGTCTTTCGGTTTCTGCTCGTTGCCCGGCTGCTCCGTGCTCTCCATGCTGGCGCGTCTACAGGTCCGACTCGTCGAGCATCGACCACCCGGCACCCCCGGCGAGAAACGAGACGACCTTAATCGGACGATCCTCGGCGACGTCGATGCGGCCACGATCGCGCGCGCGCGCGCGCCTGTCCGAATCCTGTCAACTCACGCGGCTGCGTCAAGATTGGTCGGGATCCGTTACGTTAACGATGCCCGCGTGCACGCTTGCCCGCGCTCCAATATCGGCACGGCTCGGCCACGATCTGACGCGACCTCGCGACAGCCCCGCATAAATAAGCGCGACGCAAAGGCCGGAAGCAAGAGCGATATCTCGCGACCGTGGGCGCGCGAGCCGGTCACTGTTCCCTCTTACGCTGATATAAACTGATACGAACGGAGATAACTCGACAATCCGCGAATAATCTATACTCTATATATAAATTTTCGGCGCGCACGTATGTGTATGTATATGTTATCTCAATCGAACTGGCATCTCAAAATAGCGACTCGCCCCTGCGTCACCTCGCTCGTCGAAACGTCTTAAATTGCGAAGGAGCCACGCACCCGTAACTTCGACAACGCCTTTCTTTTTCTCTCGCAGACGTTTCCCCCGATCCTGGCTTCCAGCTTTGACAGCGGGGAGTCTACCTTACCAACGAAACGGCGACTTATCATAAATTGTAATCGCACTTTTTTAACAACGCAAAATATTGCACGGTTTAATCTACCTTCGGGTATCAATTACTTTCCCCCCGAAATTGCCCACCGAAATTCTTCCTGCAATTATCACCCGAGTTTTATTTCGAATTCAGTTGCTGATTTGACTGCTGGTCACCGGACTAACCCAAGCTGACTAATCGCGACTGTTGGCATCGCTCACTTTCCTTCTCCGCCGAGGTGCGTACAGAGTGAGTATAAACGTGCCTGCGTACGAGTGATTTTGTATCCGCGTCGCTCGCTCGTCATCGTGTATTGTTTTGCAGAAACGTCGTTTCGCGGTCGCTCGGAAGAACACGTTGTCTTGCGTGCCGTGAATCGTTTCGCATTTCGCTACATGTTTCTCATTGAATTTTGTGTCATTTCAGGTTCGTCCCGAATAATCCGAATAATCACAAGATAAAAATATGGTGAGTGAGTCTTACCGCGTTCAACTTTGCTACATTTTGCGTACGTTTTTACATACGTACGAAAACATGGGCTCTATTTCGCTGTGGTCGTGTTGAGTTCACGTATCGGCAACGTAACCTCAAAATTGAGCCTAGTCTGTAGACGTAGTTTATCTAAACCGAAGGTTTGCCTTTATTCGAGCAGTACGAACGAGAGAGAACGAAGTAGCACAAAATAGAGTTTGTTCTTTTCTACGTGAACCCCCCACTGCTCAATGCTCGGTCTAGATATAGTAGGCTTGTTTTTATTGCTGCATTGGTGAACTAGTGCGGTAAGCTAGAATGAGAAAAAATATGCTTGTCTCAAGCTAACGACGCGATACTATTTTCCACGCTGGATTGCTTACGAGAGCCAATCAAGATTTAGCTTTAAGTCGCTCGATCTAAAACTGCATCCTTATTGATTCTCATAAGCAGTGCAGTATGAAAAATTGTATCGTGTGCCGTTGGCTTTACTCTAAATTTTTTGTGCTAGTTCACCAGTGTAGCAACAGAGAACAAGCCTATTGTGTCTATGGTCTAGTCGGTAGTCGCACGCACATGACTTTGTTTTATACTTTCAGCCGCGAGAGATAAAAGAAATTAAGGACTTTCTGCTGAAGGCCAGGAGAAAAGACGCAAAGTGTAAGATATCTTAATTCAAATGTTTTTTTACCAGTCTGGTCTTGTACACGTGTAATTGACTCCGCTGCTTTTGTTTCAGCCGTCAAAATAAAGAAGAATGCCGATAATGTCAAGTTCAAGGTTCGCTGCTCCCGATTTTTGTACACCCTCGTGATCACGGACAAGGAGAAGGCTGAAAAGCTCAAGCAATCCTTACCACCAGGTATATAACAAACTGCCAATTGTATTTTATAGCCAACTGTGACAACGGTACTTTCTAACGCTTGGGTTGCGGCCAAGCCGCCGCTACAAATGCTTCGAAGCCTTTCTCTTTTTCTATCTTTTCTGACAGAAAGGAGCTTCGAACTTTGAAGCGACAGCTTGACCACAGCCTTAATCATGTGTGACGCTCGTCGAAATTGTTACGTTGCACTTTTTAAAAGTAAATCTAGAGAGAACTTCAGTGTGATATAATTGAAATGCCATTTCAGGTTTGCAAGTGAAGGAAGTAAAGAGGAGTGAACGTGTGTAAAATGACTAAATAAACTACCTTCTTAAACACAAGTGTTTTTCTTTTAATTTCCTTACGCTAGCTAGAACTACAACTTTATAGTTTGCGTTTGGGCAAAATTAGCGTTTTACTATAGTTTTCTAATGAACATGCACCCTTTTCCCCCCTCCAATAGCTTCTACCATCTTTTTAAAAAATATCTCTCTAAGATATCGTGGTTAGGTTACACTTCACATTGTAAAAAATATTGCGTAGTGGTAAAAAAAATTTTTTGTTGGCTTAAAATTTCTGTAAATCCGTATTCCAGTTGCAAGAGTGTAGAAAGATAAATGCAACGTTACTCCAACACAACTTTTATATTCTGTGCACATCTCAAAATGTATACGCCACGCCGGAGAAAATAACTTTTTTTTGCTACACATTTTGAATCAATTCTTTTTATCATCATTAAGTCTTGGGCACTTTTAGCCAATTACGAGGTCAAAAGACGAAAAATCATCTAAATCTTTTTCTCCGTATCGCACTTAAACAAATTAGTATTCTTACAATTAGTGTCAATAGTGTCAATTCGCGTTTAATATAAGTATCATGAAAACTCAATCTTTTCGCATTAATAAATACATATGCACATATGCACGCGCATATATATATATATGTATGTGTGTACACATATATCTATTTATATGCTAATTATATATCTTATTCACACGGACTCTTTATCATCCTCGAAGAGAGGACGTGCATACATTACATACTTCTAATATTGTAATAGCAAATTATTCGTGTTTTGATATATTTCTTTTTGTCTCTCTCTCTCTCTCTCTCTCTTACAAAGTACCTTCCATTCTTTTGTAGAACTACGGACTATATGTATATATATATATATATATATATGTGTGTATGCAAATTCTTTGAATAAAATAAAGATATTGAGACTGCAATGTTCCTTATTCATCGCATTCATGATAAGTCGCCCTGCAAAAGAATACGGATTTTTGTTAATACAATGAATCAAGATACGCAATTGTAGACACGGTGGCCGATTGAAAGTAGTCTATTACCTTTGCTTATCTCTGTTACGTTTCGACAATCTTCTGCCGCTGTCATATGTCGCCAATGTGTATCGTTTAGTGTGTACTCGATTTGTTCTCAGTTCACGCATTTCGGAGGTCTTTGCTTTTTCTACCTTCTGCATAAATCTCGCGATGAGTTCCGAGCAATTCAGATTCTTTTCGGGTTCCCAGGTGTCATCGGCTGCACCGAATCCTTTCCATCTGATTAAGAATTCTTTTGTGCCATTTTTCTTAAAACGCACCTCGATTATTTTTTCAACCTCGAATTCCTTCGCAGTCTCTTTATCGTTTTGCTCGTCTGAAAAAAATACAAAGTAATAATAAATGAGATTATTTTTATAATAAAATAATTGCAAACGATGACGATAATTGACGTACTATTTTCCAACGATTTTTTGGAGGAAACTTTAGACTTTTTAGATTTATCTGTCTTGACCACTTTTAACGACTTCATTTCTTCCTTTTCCCCTTCCTCGATAAAATATTGTTTCATCAAGTCAGGACAATTCAAATCTTTCTCATTTTCCCAAGTGTCTGCGATTTCTCCATAGCCTTTCCACCGTACCAAAAATTGTCGCCGACCTTTAATGGTACGAAGATTCATAAGTCTCTCTACCTGAAAAAGAAAAGTATATATATTTTTAACACTCGAGAGAAGATATGTTTTCCACGTGTAAAAATCATTAATTATTTATAGTTAATTGGTTTATCACAGAAAAACTTCAAAATGCCCAGGCGTTCCAAATAAAATAGAAACTTCTCAAAAGCTTGGATAATAATTTTTTAACTTTTAATTTTAAGCAATATTTTCTTTCAATACAACTCAATGCCTTGAATATTATGTATAACCGTAGAGTTTATTATCCCTGTTGACAACTTCACGTATCACGCGCGTTTCTTTCCGAGCGGTCGTTTATTGGATGAAAAACGGAAAGAGGGGTTATCCCTTGACCAATCATCTTCGCGCAAACCAACTGTCAACATCTAATCAACACCCGGAAAGTCAGCTACGCGAGAAAATGAAGTATTCAGGCGTAAGAAAGGAGAAATAATAATAATAATTCCAAGTCCTCCGTAATATGATATTCAAGCGGTCGCGTCGCCAGTCCAAACGTAATGCGTGGTCTACAATGCGAGTCGTAGTCGTAAGAATAGTCGACTGCGATTGGTCAATTTCGTCAGACACATAAGAATTGACCAATCGCAGTCGACTATTCTTACGACTACGACTCTACGACTTCTATGTAGACGAGGCTTAACTGACGATCGGCGATGGCGACGCACGAATAAGCGAGGGAAACGGTTGGAAACGGAAGATGCTAAAAGAAAAAAAAAGGAAGAAGAAGAAGACCGCCCTACCTCGTACTCCTCGTCGGACTTGTCGCGGGCAGAGGTGGACGCTTGCTGATCCTCCTTCTTCCGGCGCTTACTCTGGTGCGATTTCTGACCGGCGGTCGTCTTTTCGCCGTTTTCCCACTCTTCCGACTCTACCGCGTCGAGGTCCTCGTCGTCGCCGTCCGCCTGCGCCGCCGGCTTGTGCAGCGATGCACCGCGCGACGAGCGTCTCTTCGTGGCGGACTTTTGCGCGTTGTTGTTTCTGCCGGCCTGCATCTCGCCGTTGCCAGCTGCGTCGCCGCCGAGCGCGCGTGCGCCGACATTTTCTTCCGACTCGCTGTCGCTCGCCGTCTCGGACTTTCTGTGCTTGTTCTTCATGCTGAGTCGTCGCATACTACCTCCACAGTGCAGCTCAGCGCGCAGCCCGCCCTCGGCTTTTATGACTCCCTCGACGACGATCTCCCACAATCCGTTGGCGGCACCACTCGGACCTCTCGTTCCCCCGCCTCTCCTCTCCCACTTCACACTCGTTGCGCTTTTTGTGGTTTTCTCTCTCTCGTGCCCTCCCCCTCTCTCTCACTCTCACCCGCTCACTCTGTCCGTCTCCTCCAGTCTCCACCTCGCTCGCTCACGAGAGTCCGACGGATGCCTTCCCGCCGCGCTCCAAACTGCTGTAAAGAAGATTACGCTCGTATTCGGCAGGAGTGCGCGCGCATTCTGACTTTTAACACGCGTATGTACGTGGCAGTGGCACACGCACGTACATATATGCTACGGAGAGAACCGTTGTACACAGTTGTACAGTACAGCTACTGCTAACGACTGGCCGGTATTCGTACTCCGTTCTTATTTAAACAATTTTAAACAGTATCTTAAGGTATTTACGGCTCTTGTTTTACAACATGTTCAGATTATACTTCGGGAGGTGGTCTTAAACACGAGAATGGAACTACGAAAATACGAGTACCAGCCAGAAAGAAAGAGAGAGAGAGAGAGAGAGAGAGGGGGAGGGGAGGGGAGGGAGAGAGAGAGAGAGAGAGAGACGCTCTTCAGGGCGGGACTTTCGTGCGCATGCGTCGGTACGTCACGTGATCGACTGCGACAGACTCGTGCCGAGACATTCCGCGGCGAGGGTCGTTCACGAGGCCTTTCTTCACTCAATGTTTCTGTTCCGACTTACGTTAACTCTTTCGTGCGCGAGTTTTTGTACTTTCATTGACACAGAGCTTCTTACTCAATAAATGCATGCTAAATTATTTTTGAGTTTTTGTAAGTGGAACTAATAGATATGTTCTAATGGTCGCGAAAAAGTCAAAATGTCGCAATATATGTTAAGCAACTAGCGTAAGTATCACCCGCGCATACATAAAATTAATAATATAGGGAAAAGTCCTCTATTATGAGATAGGCTTCTAATATGAGATAGCAGGTTTTCAACATCAAAATTCAATCACAAGTCTTTATTCGCGATTGCATCTAACAATTAATTTTCCACTAAACAGATTTCACTCCAAGGGGCAATAAATTCACGACGGAACCATAGTATAACTAGTAGGGACCGCAAAGGAGCCCGCAAGGAGTGGATCTACTAGTATTACTATGATAAAACCAGAGAACTTATACACGTGGAAGGGGAAAAGAAGCCACACACAAGTGTGTCCAAGAAGTGAGACAAAGAAACTATTTTCTATCTCGTTTATCTATCTGTCTTTCTATCATTCTGTTCCGTTTTATGACTTTTCCTCGAACTGCGCATGAGTGGCCAAAGCGAGATTGTATTTGCAGATTGTGTACATATATTGTGCATTTTCGTGTGTGTACGATTTAACGCATACGCATAACGGACCAAAGTCATCTTCTATCTATCCTTGTCACACAGATGTTGGACACAGTTTCAGCTCACGGAAAGTATACGCTATTCCCCTTCTATGTCTACAAGTTCTATGGATAAAACCGACAGATGATGCCTATTAATTTAGCAAAAATCCTATCTCATATTAGGAGTTTATCCTATAATCTGGGGACTTTCCTTTAGATGTTGTAACTAGTAAAGTTTCCTTCGTGCGATTATCTTACAGCAATTAAATTTTGCCCTTCGTCCCCCTTTGCCAAAATAATATCGGTAATTAGTTCTCCTCTACAAGAAATATTTTGCGATATTTTATTTGACTGCGTAAGATCGATAGTGCAACAATATCTCTCATTATAACGTCTTAGGCTAATTTACATTTATCGTACGACAAAATTTTTAAGCGTGTCGATTGGCTACAAGCTAGAATATTCCTACTTGAGAATTTTTCTATCCTGCAAGCCAATCAACACGCTTGACAAATTTGTCGTACGACAAAATTTTTAAGTGCATTAATTGGCTGTAGAATAGAAATGTTCTAGAGTATCTAGAAATTTTCTATTTTGCGGCCAGTCAACACGCTTGAAAAATTTGTCGTACGACAAATGTAATATTAGGCTTACTTTTTTCTCACGAGGGCGTCATTGACACCCCTTATGGCTGCGTTCAGATACGTCACCCGAGCGCCCCAGTGTATCACTTTGTCCTTGTTACTCATATGTTAAACAAGAATAAAATGATACACTGGAGCACTCGGGTGACGTTTCTGAACGCAGTCCATCGCAGTAAAATATATACGCGATTGAGACGATTATATGTATATGCGGGATTTGTCTCTCATCGAAGATGCGCAATTTAAATTCGACTGTCGAGCTTTCGAACAAAAATTGAAAATTAATCTTCGACGTGAAAAATCTGGGACAATCTCGTGAACTAATTTCAGTAGACACGGATCTCTTTCGATCTATTTGAATCCGCGTACCTTCTCGAGAATATTATATTTCTTCGCGAGAAATTTACCGCTAAAGCCAATCTGATGGCGCGACGATACTGACGATGCGAAACGCGATTTGACAACGATCCGATTGTACCTGATCCGATTTTTATGTCGACGGCACTTCCCCCCCCCCCCCCGATATTTATCCGCTCTAGCCGTACTTATGTCTCCATTTTCTTTCACGTCTCGCCGAGACTGCCAGAAGCTGTATACGTCTGGCCTGACTTCCGGCCAATTTCCCCTTACCTCCGTGACGAGAGGCCCAGTATTCACCGTACGTTTCACCTGCACCTCCTGCACCTCGTTTCTTCCACCGAAGCTCGCCATGCGAGTGCTTACTTCGCTTTCAGCGCAAAAAGTGCAGGAGAGTACACACTGAAAACGAAGCCCGTTTTACGGCGTACGTGCGACGTCGGGAGGATCGAGCGACATTTTTTTCGGCGAATCGATAAAAGGGCGAAGCGAACGACAAGCCGCTGGCGCTTATCGTCGTCGCGGAACGAAAATTTGCATGGGACGCGATCGAGCCTACGCTATATCTCTACTGTACCTTCAGGGACGACGTCTTCTAGCACTGCCGGCCTTAACGCAAGACGGCCATATTGAACACTGATATTACCGGAAGACAACGGGGCAGTCTGTGCAGTTTGAATTCGTCATCAAATCGATATATTAAATGGCGTTACGCGAACTTTAGTAGGGGTCACGCTAACGCGGAAGAAACTGCCGTTCTCCCCAGTGAAAACAGCATCAGTCCCAATGCCATCGAATTGATGAAGGATATGAGTAGTCAAAATAATGACAAAATGATAATAATTTGACTGCAAAACGTCCTATGCCTTGATGGTGGTTTATTGTAGACTGTCATTTTGATATTTGTTTGATGTCAAAAGTAAACAATTACTCTCTACAGGAATAAATGCAAAACTAAAATAAAATTATATTGAAAATAGAAATACATATATATATATATATATATATTATATATATACAGGGTGTCATCTAACATGACGATCTTAAATAAAACGTAAAATACTTACTCTATGAAAAAATTGTTCAAACGCAAGATGAAAGATGGATATGCAACAAGTCAAAGAAATATTGAAGAAACTTATACGATAAAATATAAAAATAATTTATATAACGAAATTAATGCGATCATGAGAACTCCAAACGTTTAAAATATATAGAAATTGCAATACACGCTACAAAACAACCCCGGTGATCTCTTTCGAGAAAATAACTGAGTACGTCAAGTATTGTTTCATCAAAATGTAGTCATTTCGACGTCAACATAATGTGTTTGAGTTTTTCCTATGTAACACTACACATTACAATTATCATCTAGACATTTATTTTCACCTTTCCATATCTTTTATCGCGTATTGCGTCAAAACTGATAGTATCAAGTTTTCATCACGTTCAAATATTTCCTTGATGCAATGACGACAAATAACGATTTTGATGTCATATTGACATCATTTTGATTAGACTGTTTTCACTGGACCCCTTCTAAAAAAATCCCCCCCTCTCTTTAATAATTGATCATTTGTGTATGCATTTCTGCCAAATATACGGGTTTAAAAAAATACAAACTAGAAGCGATTTATTTTTAACAACACCTCTCTTCGTGTCACGTCATTTTTCAACTGAAAGATCGAGCGCAACAGCCGTCCGACCGAAAAAGATGTTGACGTTTGCGAAATTTAATTTCGATTAACGTCCACTTCTACCAATATGAGTTAAGTTTAATCTTGGTTTATCTTATCATAGGCGACTTTTGGCGACTGTTTTGGTCATCGACATAGAACGGACTGCTGATCGCAGTGGTGGGGTAGACCCACTCGCGCGAGTAGAATGAGAGACGGATAATATGAGGACACACTCAGACTCCGTTTAGTAAGCCTGATTGGTTACTGTAATTCCAACAACCAGCCAGACTTACTGAACAGAAACGGAGAGTTGGGACGTTGAGCGATTCGCACGTCTTCTGACCGAAGAGGAATTTTTTTATATACTCGAGGGTTGCATCATCCAATTGCATAACCCCGTGCGAGGCCCGGTAGTTGGGCTTCAGCATTGCGTGAACTATTTGACATTGCATCGACTATCGTACTGCGGCAAGTGGTTAGACGTGGCCGTATTGGATCCAGCTGGAGCCAGGAGCTATTACACTAATAATGAAGAAAGACGCTAAAGATACCCAACAGAAAAATTCATTATAATAAAATGAATTTTTCTATCGAAATACATTGAACCTAACGGCTACTTTCGGGTGTAAAAGCATTCATTACGCCGAGCGTACGCTCTGGTAACTTTGGTACATGTACCGAACAATCGCCAAAAATCGCCTAATGTTGTTCTAGTTCTAGGAATTGGAGATTAAAGGAAACTTACTTTCGAAGAAAAGCGTTCGACGACAGCACTCGATCCTTCAACTGAAGCAAGCAATTTGACAAGATTATTATTATTATTATTGGCAATATATCAAAGATTTAGCAGATCGAAGATTATTTCTTGCATCTGCTAAGGTTAACGGGGCTTTGGTGAGGAACGAATGCAATTTCGCTTCCCTCGTTGTCTTGACAACGTTGCGATCGAATCGTTTATCCACCCGCGCGACCCGTAGAATATCACTCGTTTCTCCCGGTTTTCTCCCCTCTAATCTATCCCGTTCTGTTTTGTCAAACGAATTCTCTTGTCACAACATGGCCAAATTCGTTAGTACTTACGAGAAGCCTCTGCCTCATCTCGGTCTACCGGACTGGTACACCAAACAATGGGAGCTTCGGCAAAGCGCGGACATCCGCAGATCCGAGGCCTGTCGGCTACGCAATTCGAGCAAGACCGCCCGTTCCGAGGGAAACGTGAGAACGAAATGGGACACCTACATCAACGACGCTCGAATAGCGGACAGGTAATCGCGACTCGCTCAACGTTGTTGATACATATTACTCGATTAGGTTCCTCCAGTCCCCTACACAGTTAAAACTAGTACGAGGCTACAATTAACTTGATTTAATCTTTGCATACATTTTCGACATGAAATTTTGACTCACCAGAGTGTTGGAGCTATCGAGATGGAAGGACGGGCTCGAGGACCTGCTGCAAAAATTGGTAACCGAGATAGGCTTGTTAAGCGATGAAAAAGCCAACACGGAGAAGAAAATTGAAAGGGTAACCCAGCTTCTGCGTATCACCAGCGAATGCATCTCGATGAGGGACTGCCGTAGAGAAGCCGAGCTCACGTACGACGAGGCTGATATTGAATTGAAGAAGGAACTCCGCATGATTGCAAATATTCACGAAGCTTTGACCAAAAGGTGGCCAAGCCGACGATACGTAGTAGAGAAATCATCATAATCACCTCTTCTTCTTTTTGTAATTCCCTTTACCTTGACAGAGCGCAGGCCGCGTGGGAAAAGTTAAATCACTTGGAAGCCTTCAGATTTAAGCTGAACTTAAGCATAGAGGATAAAAACGAAACCATTAGAATAGACATAGAGAATCTGGAATTGGATCATGCTTGCGCAAATTTAAGTTACAAGCCTAAAACGCCGGCTATAGATAAGACAAGGTAAAGCTAGAGACCCTCTAATAAGAGTCTGGCCATAACAGCGATTGTGGCAAAATCCTACGAGAGGGAAAGATATATATTTGCTATCTCGAAGATAGCAAATATATATCTTTCTCTCTCGTAGGATTTTGCCACAATCGCTGTTATGGCCAGACTCTTATTAGAGGGTCTCTAGGTAAAGCTATTTCCATATCATTTATATCATCAATTCGTTTACATCAACTTTCCTTTTAACAGTCCAATCACGTACGAGGTTTGGCTGGACCGTTGCCGTTGTTCCAAGCTGTCCGCCGAAAATGAACTGAGCGGATGTTACACTTTCCGTGAAGATACACGTGTAATGAGGGAACACGCACGGAACGATATTAAGGCTCAGCAAGACGCGACGGATTACACTTTGAGGAAGAGAATCTATCAAACGCAAAAGGCCAGAAACGAAATGGAATGGCAGAAGCTCAAGGTGCGTACGGAATAAGAATAAATCAAACAACGAATTCATCAACAATTTGACAAATGTCAAATATATGGTGAGAAAGAGAATTTATTCTCGTTCTCTATATTCTCTACATTGCTCAAAATAAAATAGGTGCAGAAGGAAATGGAAATGTTGGGAAGCGAAATAAGTCAGTTGGAAGGAACGCTGACGAGTAAAACAGACGCGGTGAAATGCGTCGAGACGCGATTGGAAAATCGCGTTCATCGGCCTGGCTCGGAACTCTGTAAGGACGAAGTTGAATTAGGCTTGAAGAACGAAGCTCTACAATTAAAACGGACCGAGGAGAATCTAATTAAGATGATCGAGCATGCAAAGTACGTATGCTGTTAACGAACCGACAGTCATTTGCAGGGTTGGAAGTCACTTTGCAAAAGTATCTAGTCACAATTACAGTTCTTTCCCTGAGAATGTAACTAGTAACAGTTACAAGTTACCAATTCTGAAAAGTAACGCGTTAGGTTACAATTACTCAAAAAGTAACGCGTTACAGTTACAGTTACTATAAAAGTAACGCGTTACAGTTACTCAAAAAGTAACGAATCGTTACTTTGCAGTTATTTTCCTGCAGTGAAAATAAAAATATCAAGTTTGCATCCGAATTGTAAAGGCATTTATGCGATCTGTGGAGGTTTAAAAAAAATATATAAAGTAACTATTAATGTAACCATTAAATTAGTTACTCGTTAACGAAAAAATATAACTGAGTGAAGTTACAGTTACGGATGGGGAGAAAGTAACAAAGTTAAATTAGAGTGACCAAAAAAAAGTAACTGTAACTCCATTACAAGTAACGAGTTACTTCTCAACCCTGGTCATTTGTCATTCCGTTTTTTTCTCCAACGCAAGCTTTACGTTTAATTAATTCACTAGAGCGAGCTACAACAGTCTGGAATCCCTGCTTATACGTATCGACAAGAATTTGGAAGACAAACAGCACTCCCTGAACACCGACGTCATGTGCCTGGACATCAGAGCGCCGCTGAAGACAGGAGACAGATCGCGTTTGCCTAATGAGACGGACCGCAATATTGTATTGACACGCATGGAGAAGGAGATCCCACTGGAATCTTAACTCGGCTATCCATTCATTTGTCATTGTCAAAACTGGAGGACGGTCATGCTTCCACAATGCGTGAAGTGAGCCTGGCGTAAGGAGCAAGAGAGAACCATAACTTTTAGCTTTTGGTGTAAGGAAACTAAAATACAGGCATAATTTTAAAAATATTTGTAACACTGGCTGATGGCGTTCCGGTTCAACAAGAGTAAATGTAAGAGCTGAAGTAGGAGGAAGAAATAAAATTGATTCATTTCCTTACTCCAGGCTTACTCCATGCATTGTAGACGACGCATCGACATGAAAAAAAGACTTGTCAGTTCTCCAGCTTCGTATCACAAGGTTTGTTTTCTGTTCCTGCACTGGTGAACTAGTATGCAGTAAGCTAGAATGAGAAAAAATATACTTGCCTTACTCCAATTTATTGCACTAGTTCACCAGCGCGGAAACAGAAAACAAGCCTGTTATTCGTATCGTGCGACAATCGAAGAATGTACTCTACCGAAATTTAAGGAACGTCGGATTCGTAAACGTAATTTGATCTAACCTACGTGGAGCCTTACCGAACTTCATCTTCCATTTTCCTTACATGTTGGAAACCCGTTTTCGTATCTTACGTTTTATACCTCTCTCGTAGATTCCTGGAAAGAAGATATTTATATTATTTTTAGGATTAATTTTCGACGGTGTACATTACAAATTCGCGTGTAATCACCCTGCGCACTGGGATACGGTAAAATCGATCGAACTCTGCCGGTAAGAACTTGGTAGCGCGGACTTCCGTGCACTCGACGCCAGCTGTCGCGAGAGCGCGGGGCGTACGATGCTGCCCTCCGTCGAGCAACGAGTCACCCGAACGGGTGGCGAAAGTGGTCACGGGAGGGCGCCAGTGTTATCGAAAGTCGTGGCTTACAGAGAGATATACCATTTCGCATATATTTAAATTACACAACACACAAATTACAGTGTAAACATTATAGACAGACCGTAAGAAGTCGAGAGTAGGAGGTGCGTACAAATTTGACCGGCGCGCATCGGGCGCGCGCCTCGCGCCGACTCTATTGCTGCGTATCTGCAAATGAGGTATATTTCACATTTATATATAAGAGTAATCGTAAAGGTCGATCCAACTGGCGGGACAAGCGGGACGATCGCTGGCAACGTGGGGGAAGACGAAGGAGGGAACGGGAGGGGGGAGGGGGCGAGGACGAAAGAAAATCCCGCGTGTCGCGGATAAGGGACGAGGGGAGGGGGGGGGGATACTGAACGACGACGATTTGAAGGAGCCAATTTGGAAGAATGCGGTGAGATAGGTAGGCGGACAGACAGATATAAATAGACACGTTACTTCGTTTTCCGTCTAACGTTCGTAACTATGTAACTACATAACGATCCGGTCGATCGGTTATTACAACGATCGCGCGTTGTATACAAAGCGGCGACTACGGACAGAATTTTTGGCCTCCTGCGCGCGCTCCCCGGGACGGGACTCTGTATCGGAACGTAACGGAACGTAACGTCCAGATACGCGAAATCGCTTTTCGCCGACGCCTCTCTTTCGCCGCGCGCCAGGGACGGATGGCAACTTCCCGAGGCCTGAAGCTGATGAAATTGAAACACGTTGAGGGGTTTGATTTACCGACGGAGTCGCATACAGTTCATGCGTTTGTAAATCTTGTTATTGGCATTTACGTACAAAATAATACCAGACCGGATTGTGGACTGCATAGTAGAACATTTTTCATATAAAAAAACCATTGAGATTTGATGTCCAATTCGTATCGCATTGTGTACTCCAAATTTTCAAATACATAATGCGATACGAATTAGACTTCAAACCTCAATGTTTTTTTTTTATATGAAAATGTTCTACTATGCAGTCCACAATCCGGTCTGATATTATTTTGTACATAAATGTTAATAATAACCCAGCAAACATTGCGCAATATTGTAGCAACGTTACTGCATTATTATAACATTGCCGCAACGTTGTTGCAATGCTCTGTGTTTGCTGGGAAGATTTACAAACTGTATGCGACTCTGTCGGTAAATCAAACCACTCCAGCGTCCCTTTAAGGCCTCTGTGTCCACGGTTTTTAAATATTTACTTATGAAAAACATTTTTTTTACTTTTTGACATGTATAATAATATTATAAAACTCACTTTTTAATAGCGTGATTCAGTAAATAAAAAAAAATCCCAAAAATAGACCTCTATTTCAGCCGGTTACATAGGTGTTACCCCTTAAAGATGCAGCTTCATCCCTACAATTTCAACAAATTGGTTAATATTTCGGAAGAAAATGATGTCAGGCTCTTTGGCAGAACTTAGATTAGTGAAGATCGTTGGGGACACTGCCAGTCGACGCCTGTCGAACGTTGCACTGGATACGTATAACTGAAAGAGAAATTGGAAAGAGCGAATATTACTGTTTCAAGAGAATCGAAAGACTTTACTATCTCTCACACGAATCCGTCCCTGACTGTCGATATACGCTGTAAATTTCGTCTTTTGCATTTTCGCGCGCAGCACACGGTTTAAAACGCGAAGGGTGCACCGCCTTTCGCGCGAAGCACGGTGAACGACTCGAGCGATGGATCGGATCGGATCGGATCGATCGATCGGAGCACGCGTGAGAACGAATTATTCCCGGCCCATCGCTTCGCGTAATATACAGATAATATTACACTAGCTACATGGCTATCAAATGCGTATCTTCTGCTTTTTCTTCTGGTTTTTTTTTACACGTATACACAAGCGCATACATAGACTACCGCGTGTGTAGAATACGCATATAAATACATACTCGCATATAGCATACGGACGCAACACTCGCCCACACATACACACACGTGCACGCGCACATCGACCGCCATAAGACACCTTATCTCTTCAAGACTACGCGAATTTGTACATAAGGCATCACGATATCGTGTCGTTTCTCACATACGAACGTGATAACGGCGAAGCGTGATACTCGCTCTTCTATCTATCTGTTTCCGCTATCGAGCAGGTTCGGTAAATATCGGGGCGAATTTCGCGTTAGCGACGTCTCGAAGCGACGCGCGGCGCGAGACGCCGATTTAAGCTCCCTCGACTTAAGCTCGACTGTGCGCGGACGATCATTTACACGCCAAACAGGATATCTCGAGTCGCGGCCAGATAGCGATAATTTCGAGATAGCGTTGGCTTAATCTGGCAAATTATTTCGCGAGGCACTCGGCAGCGTCGCGAGACGACGCGAGCTCGTAATACAGCTTCGAAAGATATGTGTATATCAATGGCGACAGCGGAGCTCCCGATTCGAAGTCTTTGTAATTGCAGAAAGAATCGCGGTGATCAACAAATTCTTATCGTCCGCGAATGCAAATATTTCGATATAGAAGCGCGGTGGATAGATTCGAGGTAAACGTTTCGAGTTGCGAATGCAGCGGGATTATTAATCTAACAGAACCTGCCTTTTGAGACGGATGTTTTCGCTTTTACTTTCCAAGAGCATTGGCTTCACCGCTCCTGGCGCGAGTCGACGGCTCGGGTCCATCCCGGCTCGGTGTGAAGTTACGCTATAGCTACGCGAGGAACGGCGATTGTAATATCCCTCACTCGGACTTGTCCGTGAGTGAGTATACAGCGCTATGACGAAATATTTCCTCGCGATCGCCACCCACACCGAGGATGTATTTCGTCATGACTGCCTACCCGAACGGTAGTGAGCGTAACCGAAGCGATCGGATCGAGACGGCTCGCTTCGAGCGCTCGATCGATGCTCCGCTGATATGTATACCGCGAACTGATGATGATCGGGGGCCCAATGCCGACTCCGAAACTACATGCAGCGAATTCGACCGCATCGACGATACTCAAAGTTGCTTGCGATTCGAAAGTCAATTTCGTAACGATAAATAATGAACAATACCGACAATCTTTTCTTCGCCAGTGAACGCAAAGGTAATGGATAATTGTCCGACGTGTCTGGCAATACTTGATTTAAGAATCAAACACACGACGTCGGAGAATGCGATCGCTGTGGTACGAAACGTGCAATCATCATGTTTCTTATGTATCTTGACAAACATTCTTCAGATTCCGGCTGGTTGGCACTTGTCCGACTTTAGAATGTTACAAACGCTTTTCACTCGAAAGGAACCGGAATTCCCCGTCGAAAAAGTCGCGCGTGTTTTTTATTCTCAAATAAAATATTGCCGGATACGTCGAATTGCCTTTGTGGAATAAATAATGAATTTGTAAAATTTCCGAAATCGATCGACGAGATGAGGAGAAACACACAACTGCGTGAAAACAATGTAAATGCATCATACGTTATCTGCAATGCGATGTCATAGATATCGCTCCGTTTACAAATTACGATAATATCTGTGAAACCGTGTTCTCACTTCTTTTGTTTCCTTAATAATTTCTACACATTTTCAGACTCTCGATCTGGACTCTCCAACTGACAGTTTCGGAAAGCTCCGGCGCCTCGAAGCCTGAATGGCGAAAACCACGCAGCGCGCGTCCAACACAGGTAGTCGAGAACGAACGGGAAGCAAAGAGAGGAAATCTCTATCTCTCTCTTTCTCCGCCTGTACTGTCCCGCTCTCTTCACTTGGTGTGTTGCTTCGGGAGGTGCCGCTTCATGTGCAGCGCGAGATGATCGCTCCTGGCGAAGGAGCGCTCGCAGACCGCGCATTTAAAGGGCTTAGCCCCGGTGTGCTTGCGGTAATGCCGCGTCAATTCGTCGCTCCTGGCGAATCGCCACTCGCATTCCGGCCATTGACACTGATACGGTTTCTCGCCTGAAACAGCCACAAGAGGAAAGACATATATAAGTGAAAAACGTGCACACGGTGGCGTATCTCCGAGAGCGATCGCAATTTTAACGAATGACCAACTATTGGAAAACCGTTGCCTTATCTCGGACGATTAATTCTTAACTAAAGCGATCAATTTCGATCCGTCCATCATTTTCTCCCGAGATAACTCGACTCGAGTCTCACTAATCCCTGTAACGCGTTTCCAAGTCTATTCCTTCGCATTCTTCTAATTTATATTTCTAAAAATAAATATGTGTATACGTCGTTGCCTCTTCGATCGGAATCCTTTTCGCGGACTATTCCTATATACTGCTCGAAACTGCGAAAGCGTATCGACCGGCATACGGGAGTCCGATCGGCGCGACTCTCCAGCGTCTCACGAGCGAGAATTCCGTTCGAGTTTCGAGACGGCGGCGACCTATTAGAGAACAAAGCGTTGCTCTTTGTGAGATAGAGCCGCGGGATGCGGTATACTTAGGTATATATCCCGTCGCGCCTCTCAGCTGCGAGAGATGCAGCACGGTGTGACCTTTAACTGTACCTGCATGCCGCAACACGCTCACCTGTATTCTAGCGCAATCGCGCCGGCCGGACCGCGCGCGAGCGAGCGACCGGCCGAATGCAACCGGCTAATGCGAACCAACATGCCCGCATTCCGCTCGGCCTCGCCGATTATCGGGGAATATGCCTTCCTTATTGTTGTTACGCGCGCCCACGGCGTATTATCATCGTAAACGGCGGAATTGAGAGCTTGCGCGCGATTGACGCTATAATTTGTGATGTGCCGGACATTTCGAGTCGCCGGGACGTACGCGTCAATTCGAAAATTGGCATTCAGAATTGCAACGAATGGACGATTCAGATTGTCAGGTCCATTACGAATGCTCGCATTAAAAGGATCGCGAGTCGCAGAATAATTAGTTGCGCACAACGTGGTAATCGAGAGCTAGAGGGGATCGTGTCCGCGATTTCGCAGAGCCATTTTAGGCTTCGACTCAAATTGGACATACAGAGTTAAGCCAACGGCACACGATACTATTTTTTTCTACTGGATTGCTTGCGAGAGCCAATCAGGATAAAGCCTGATCGTAAACAATCTAGTAGGAAAAATAGTATCGTGTGCCGTCGGCTTAAAACTCTACATCCTTAAACCCGTATCAGACTACAGGTTGAGATTGAGATTAGATTGAAATTTGACCAACTGGAGTAAAAGTCACTAAAACTTGAGATTAGTAAATTTTACTCTGGTCAAATTTCAATATAATCTGAATCTCAATTCGTAGTCTGATACGGGCTTCATTGGTTCTCGTAAGCAATCCAGTAGAAAAACTAGTATCGTGTGCCGTTGGCTTTACATCAAGCTGACGACAGAGATTGTAAAGTTCATTGTGAATACGGTTTCGTATTAAAAGAATCGCGAATCGGGGAATAATTAGTTACACACTACGCGGTAATCGAAGGCTAGAGGGGCTCGAGCCCGCGACTCCACAGAGCCATTTTAGGCATCGACTTGAAACGCATCCTTGAAGCAAGCACAAATTACCTATTCGACTCGCCCCGGCTCGAAATGTCTCCTACGCCAATCAGGTGTCCCGTCGCCTCCCCGAGCTGTTTGTTTCGATCGCGACGAAAGATTCCTTCGCGATGCGCGGAACGGTGAGTAAGAAGCGAGTGCTAAGCGAGTAAAAGCGACCAAGGCGGCGGCTCGACGGGGGATCCGCGGGAGGAGGGCGAGCACGCACAGGAGAGGAGAAGAAAGAACTCGATAGCTAAGAGATACACCCACGCATCCTTCTAGCTCGTTCCTGTTCCTCGCGCGCGCGCTACACGGAGACGACCCTAACCGGTCCTCGCCGGCGCGGCGCGGCCGCCCTGCGCCGCGAGAGTTGCATTCAACGCTGCAGCATCGCGTCGCACCACGTCGTGCCACGCGACGCACAGCCCATGGAACGGTACTACTACCACGAGCGCTATCCATTTACGGTATCGCGCGCGTTCACGTGAGAATTCTTCTCCCGCGGGTCTCGCCGCGCCGGCTCCGGCGAAATTCCCTCCCGGGGCCCGTCGCCTCGCGTTAGCAGGTTCATTCTTACTTAACGCTCGGGCTACTAAGTCATTTCAGAAAGGAAACTTTTTCACGAATAACTTAAGACACGTCCCGAGTTGAAATTTTGGTGCTATCCTGACACTTTTAAGGATTTACACCTACTTAGCTGATCTACACACCTGCATAGACCAGCAGCAACCTACTTTGATGACATTATATTTTTTTACTCCTCCCTTGAATCTTCAATTCTAAAAATTTACTTTAGCCCCTACTTAAAAAACCTACTTTAATGCTAAATTGTAAAGTAGAAATTTCCGACACCGCCAGTTTTAAAGTAGGAGTAAATTTTGTACTTGCAGTTCGACCTCTTTTACTGTCTCAGGTCCTACTATATAATAGAATTAAAGGTTCAACATAGGGCCAAAATTTCGACTCGGGGTCTTGAAACGCGTGAGTCTCTCGAGAGAAGAAACAAATCGAAATGGAAAGTCAATTGTTCTCCCCCTAACGATTCTCCGAGTTTAATTGCAGATACCGACAGTTCTTGATAAGCGCAACACGCACGCGTGGCACACGTGATATCCGCGACTCTTCAATTTTTATTTATAAGAAATTCTTTTTAACGGCAAACGCAAAATTGCGAGCGCGGCTATTCGTATCGTACGATTCCGCGGCATCGTTAAGGTTTGATATTGCGTTACGATGTCTCCGGAGTCGATCGACCGGGGACACCTACGGGGCCTCCAGGCGTCCCCGTTAATTTTGGATCACTTTCACCCGAGAGCCGGCGGCGCTCCATTCCGCGGACAAGTTGCTTTCCAAATACGCTTCCTAGCCCTACTTTGCTCCAGATTTCCTCGGCCACCGGGCTTTCTCGCCTCAGGTTCCGATTAATCTCTTGGCGATTAATGACGGAGCGCTTAAACTTCGATCACTTTACGACCGAAGAAATTCCAAACCAATCAAGCGCATATTGATCATGAGAAGATATCAGGAAGTTACCAGCTTGATTAACAATGTTACTATGGTTGATTTAATTACGCATTAATCACGGATACGGACGTAATTAATTACGGATTTCTTTGGCGTTATCACTCGCGCAGGGTTCGCGATATACTGATATAAATTATGATATTATTTCTATACTTGTCGCGTCGATAAATTATAAATCGCCACTTTGACAAAATTATAACGATTACTTTGTGATACAATAATTCTAGACACCGATGAATTAATAAGCAAGTCGACGCCGTATGTACGCACGCGGCTCGTGGCACGGCGCATTCACAGCGGTGCGGCGAGGGTTCATTCACGAGTCGTCCGACAGACTCGCGCGCGCGCGAGGGCCACGTGCCCCCCTCGGCTTCTCCTCCACATCCAAGCGTTCCCCGTGTCTCGGCGCGCCCGTGTCTCGCTTGTGTTTGAGATCGCGCGACAAATTGAAATATCCTCGCATAATCTCGCATATCGATCGATTCTCCACGATTCTAATCGATCGGCAGAGTGTCGTAAGAATTGATCGATGGACAACATGTACGAGTCGCGACGAACAGGCTGGTGGCAAATTAATTTAACTATCGTTAGTATATTCGTCACGCGAGCACAGAGACAAGGATGCCTGTTCGATTCAAATGTCAATGGAGGGCACGAAAGCGAGTAACTCTCGCACGGTGGCGCGTGCATAATCCATCTACCATATATGTAAATGCATTAAGTTATACATATATTAAATAACGACGCGTTCCATTACTCATTTTCAGTCGGTGATTAGAAGAGAATTTACCAATTACACAATAGAAATAATTTTAAGGAGGTAAGCACGCGTGAGGGACGTTGCTCTGGTTCCTCGCTCGATGCCATCTCCTCGGGCCCCTAGAGTCTTGAAATTTCGTTTCGTTCAACCGATTCGTTTGAGGCGATGACACGGGTTTACCGCAAAAACTCACCGAGGTATCAATTCGAAAGTGGTACATCGCACTTAAGATGCCTCCGGCTTGCATTCCGCGAGAGACTGCCGCGTAGGCACGTGTGCGGGAAGCACATCTCTTCGTCTCTCTCCCCGCCCATCTCGTCATCTCTCTCGCGCTCTCACGCTCTTTCGCGCGTGTTCCACGCGTGTGGGAACTAGCATGCGTGTTCGTCCAGGTAGCACACGCGGCAGGCGGTGTTGGTGCCGCGACTCGCGTCCGTGTGTTGGCGAAGCTTGGACGCGGATAGGATGTGGGTCGGTCGCTAGCTTCGCTCTAAGCGGAGAGTCGCATACCACGAGAGCTTCGTGCGTCCCTTACCACGTTTACATATGATAGAAGCGCCTTTGCGCGACACCGCGCGAGCGGTGCCAATGGAGAAACGAAGAGCCAGAGAGAAGAGAAAGAGGAGAGAGGAGAGAGAGAGAGAAAAAGAAAGAGAGGGAGAGACGCTCAGGACCGCGCCCTGCCCACGCGCAAACGTCGACTGCTCGACCTCGCGCTTTCAAACTCTTCGTTTCGCTTCGTGTAGATGAGCTACATACCTAATTACCGGAGAATACACGGAAGCCCCTCCCCCTAATTTTAACATTCGCTCCCTTGTACTAGCAACAACGTGATACATCGAAATACAGCAACCTTTTCACTCACCCGTGTGTATCCGCTGATGAGCCTTCAGGTGCGAGCTCTTCGTGTAGACTTTCGTACAACCTGCGAAAGAAAGCGAGGAATTAGGTCAGCTATATTAAAGTTGGAAGTACGGTTTTGAAATGATGTAATATAATAAAGCCAAAAACCTAAGGAAAACTACGCGAGCCACAAATTACTATCGAATCCCAGAGATTAAGTGTCTCAGCTTAACAATTCTTGGAAAGACCTACACTTTTTTGTGAATCGAGGACTAATTGTAAGGCTCGAAATCGCCTTGCTCACCTATGAAATCGCAGTGGTGCACCCGGCGCTTCTCCAACTCCGGGTTATTCCGCCTGTTGAACTTGGCCGACATCGACTGCGACTGGATCCTATGGGCCGGATTCAGGATCGGGCCCGGCTGGGGATACGGGGGTGGCGGTGTCCGCCTGGGTGGACCGGCACCGATGGGCGAGCCGGGATCGGAGATCGGTGGCGTCAGCGGTGAAATATACATCAGCCTCGTCATCGAGCCATAGAGCGGCGATGTCGCGTTGCCGCTCGGCTGATGATGACTGCTCGTTGACGAGTCACTATTGCTACCACCGCCGTTGTTGTTGCCGTTGTTGTTGCTGCTGGCGCCGTTGCCGCTACCGTTATTGCTACCAGCGTTATTCCCGCTCGTGTTATTACTGTTAACAGTCCCGCTGTTATTATTGTTGTTGTTATTATTGTTGGGGAAGCCCTTGAAGAGTGCAGTCGTTGCCGTTGTCGTCGTCGTCGTCCGATGATGGACGACGTGCTGAACACTAGAGGGATTCGGAAAGGGATTCTGCGAGGGGTTCGCGGCCGGTCCCTCGAGGAGATGTAAGGTCGGCGGTGGCGGTAACGGTTCCGTCTTGATCTCCACCGGGGAGAGAACCGGTGGCGGCGTCACGTCGTCAGTCTCCATCTTTACGTGAGACTGCGAGCCCAGCATATCCGCGTTCTCCGGATCCAGCTTCTGAATACTCGACGTGATATCCTCCCAGAGCGGCGGCCTGAGGAAGACATCGTCGTCCTGGCCGGCAGTCGCCGACTGACTCCTGGCTGAAACGAAACTGGCCTGCGGTGGTCGGCACACTGCCGTAGGCCCGCCGACCTCGAAGAAGTCCTCCATGTGCACGGACGGCTCCCGTGCATCTCTCACGTCCGATTCATCCTCGTCCAGCCTCTGCAGACGATCGAGATCTTGCCTGCACAGCAAAGTGTCCAGCTCCGACGTCTGCTGGGAACAGAAGAAACAGGACTCGTCGTGTATAATCATTCATCTGACTTTCTCATTAACAATATTTCTCACTTCTAACTTGAGTTATTACCAATTCATTCGCTTACAATATTTTATTGCATCCAAAGCGTTAATATTTTTAGGGCTAACAATAAATTTACTAAAACTCTTCTGGACAACGTTTTAACCATTTTGTTATTTTTAAGTAAAAATTCTTAATTAAGGTTCGGGACATAGAGAGACTCATATAGATTAGGAATCTTCTTGATTTTTTGTTTCAGGTAAGCCTGAATGATAAAAGTCATCAACGCAGCGGATATGCATTTTTTTTGCCACGCCATTCGAACGGTGTAGAAAACGCTTAATTTAAAAATTGTTTAAATTATGACAACAATTTTTTTGTGTTACGTAAGAGTGCCTTAATAAATCCCGAAAAGATTTATTTCATTGTATGGTGTAATTACTGTGAAAAAAGATTGTTAAAGATAAGCATAGTTTTTGGGCCGTTAAAGTGGAATGACCCCTTAAAGAAGTGCTTCGGAATATAAGTACATTTGCTAGGCTTGTTTTACTAACAGCAATCGATTAAAGTCCCTTCGCCCGTAACATTTAAAATTGTAAAGGGCGCATCTGCCGAGACGGAGGGCGAATGACTTGCGATATGGTGATACGCGCGGCGAAGGTCCCCAGGTCGGGCGTCGTCAACATGCCCAACGCTGTCTCGCCCTACGACGTCCAGCACGCGCGAGGAGGAGCGACGGAGGAAGAAACGCGGGAGACTAGCGATGCCGCGTCATCCTTTGCATGATTTGTACACGGCCAACGCCGCCCTCGCGGCCCATAGTACACCGTTCGCTCCGCTCTTCCTCCCTTTTCCTCTCTTGTCGTGTCGAGAGACGACGAGTGTGCCACCTCGCTACAGAGCGTTCGGTGCATAACATTCGGTGGATTTCTACAAGGGCCTCTCGGATCGACGCGTCGCTCGTCGCCGTCGATCCTGTTCTCGCGCCGGAAATGCATGTGGGTATGAAACGCGAAACTGGGAGACAGTTACGGCATCGTTTCGATCTTTACGACTTTAACACTTCCGCTGGAATCTAAAGTCGTGGCCGAAGTCGTGGGGAATCGTATCGAGTACCTGTCGGAAAGGGATCGAGAAAAAATGGCGGTCCTGCTCCGGCCTTTAGGACGTGTGTACCCAATTATTCTGTAACCGTATTAGAGTCTCCCCGTTCAAATCTAAAACTGTTTCACGTGCGATAGAGACGGTCTCGAGTGTTTCAGTCAGATGTTGGGAAGAAACGTTTATAGATCCACTGAAAAAATATCGCCTGATGAGCTTTCGATCGGGTTTTCTTGCTCGCGCGGCTTGTGCAGCCCCGCGATGATTTATGAATTATTTACACAATGAATAATTCATCGTCGGAAGATTGGTACACTCGCGACACTCGATCGTACCTGATATGCAATTTGAAAAGGAGGCTCGTGTGCGCGAGCGAGGTACGATATGTGCGCGCGGAACATTATACTTAAAAATCTGTATGCTCAAATCGTAGCGTGTCGACGAAACGTAGCGCCTTGATCGCGAAGGTTCCGATTTTACGAGCGGTGAAAGAGTACACGTCAGAAAATTTATTTATCACCAACTCGCTGTAAATGTAAAAAAAATGTCTATCGCGTCGAGTGAACGAAAGGTACGGTCTTTCTCGCGGTCCTGCGAACCGAGTTTGAAGCTGCACTCGACATTTCTAGCCATCAGAGTTGGGAAAGTTACTTTATAAAAGTATCTAGTTACAGTTACAAGTTATCAATTCTGAAAAGTAACGCGTTACGTTTACAGTTACTCAAAAAATAACGAATCGTTACTTTGCAGTTACTTTCTTGCAACGAAATAGATATCAAATCTGCAAATTGAATTGTAAAGTGTCGATAAAGGCGTTTATGCGCAAATGCAAAGCCTATTGCGATCTGTGGAGGTTTAAAATATATATAAAGTAACCCTTAATGTAACTGAGTTAAGTTACAGTTACGGATGGAGAGAAAGTAACGAAGCTCGGTGTTGGTAACTTAACGAAGTTTTTTTTGGTAACTCAAACTTAACGAAGTTAACGAAGTTAGAGTTAAAGTTACAAAAAAAAGTAACTGTAACTGTAACTTCGTTACAAATAACGAGTTACTTCCCAACCCTGTTTCTAGCTCAATCTAATAAAGCGTATCCCGAATCGAAAGTGGCATTTACGTGCAAAACACACACGATATTTGAACACAGCTGCTCGAGGGTCGAGACAAACGCGTCCGAACGCGAGAATGAACGTTTCGTAATTTTCTTTCTCGATCCATCGAGGCCCGCCGCGGTGGGACCAGCCTCTTTTTCCTGCAGTCTCTCGTCATCCGTCTCTTTCTCGCGTTGCGATGATAATGATAGTGCGGAGCGCGAGCAAAGTTCGTCCATCCGGCTATTAATGCGCGTAATCATAGAGCCAGGGTCGCCGGTGTTAATAATGCGTTTTCGAATCTGTCGGAGCGAGAACGAACACCCACGCCGCGCCGATACTGCGTCGTCATTATGTAGCGGCGGACACGCGTGTGTGCGTTTATGCGTGCGTGCGCGTGCACTCCCACGCGCGTGTCCACGAACACGCGGGCGTGCGCTACGCTAATATCCCCGCTTCATTATTCCAGTTGATCGCAAGTTGGTTTGTTGATCGCACACCAATAACAACGACGATGACGACGACGACGGACTTCGTAATCGTCCTCGGAAAAGGAATGATTTTTTTCCCTTGACTGTAGCGAGCCAATAAATCTAGTTCATCGTATTCCGGTGAACATGAGATACGATGTCCGTTCTCCTACGACTCGATTAGCATGCAGCCAATGATTCCGGAGCGCGACGTTTCTCGCTTCGGCTCGTTGCCGGCGCTGTATTAACAGGTTCGCGAGAGAACGTGGAAAACCGCGAGAAACGAGAAAAGTCGAGGATATTAGAAGCGCCATCGGACAACGTCGGAAACAGCCGGTCGTCTCTGAACCTTTGCATCTCAATGGCTTTGCTGGGAAATCACTATTTCATATTACTTTCACTAGTGGCTCTCTGATACTGCAACGAAGTCACCTTCAGTTCTTGACTTGTGAGATACACAATTGAATATTTGCGTGTGTTATTTTCAAAAACATGGGCTACAGCTATTGATATTTAAATTTTTCCTCGAGTTCTGATTAATTTTTCAATGTAACAGTGTCCTACTGAAAGCGTCTTTGATTATAATTGGAAATTTATCTTTCATATTATAAATGCTTATATTTCTAGAAGAGAGTTTTGTACAATTGACAGTTATAAGTACCCGTATGTATGTATAATAAATGTTTATCTTTTTGAAAAAGAATATTTGTTCTTATATTGGGATTCAGAGGGTTAAATGCAATTACTATCATAAAAATGTAATCGCGAAGTGAGGTATCATCGAGAGATAACGATGCTTGAAAGCAAATCACAAGCACCTTCCTCGCATTCTTCATTTCTAATAAAAGAACATCCGATAACAAGAAATTTGATTAAATATATAGTCGTTTATCAAATTGCGTAACTTCGTCTTCGGCGCCTTCGATACCGCGTCTCCGATAAACTCGCGCGAGCAAGTCGACTCGTATTTCACAATTATCTCGGGCGCGAATCGCCGGCTAAATTCATCGATATAGCGACGTGATAAACGCAATGCGGCCTAGAAAGATGGAATAGAAGAATCGACGCGACGCCATGCTGCTCGCGGTGAGAAAACGCAGCGCGCAGAAGCAAGCACAGCTCGCCGAATCAATCTGGGGAGGCCACACCCTCTGACCTAAAGCCGTATTATCGCGATAAACGCCCAGGAAGATGTCAGCTATGAAGCCGCCCCGAAATGTCCTCGCGCGCAATTCTTGCCGAAACGCTTATCATCGCCGCCGCGACTTTGCTTTCGATATCGCGATCGCGATCACGCTATTCGCTCGGACGGATACGTTGCCGCGAGAAGGCACGAGTATACACATGCTTATGGCCCGTCATACTTTTCTACTCGTTCCGACCTCGATAACAATGCAGGGACGCGGGGGTAGCTACAACGATACGAGGCCTTTGGATAAGTAATTACTTTCGCGTCGCTTAATCAATGTACCTGTTGTAATTGTAATTCCATTGATACAGTCGTAGCGTCAAGTCCGTGTACCAAGTTTTGCCGCTTGTTATTACGAGGCACGGTAGTGTCTCGCGCCAAGTATAAGCGCAGCTGGCACCGCGCGCGTAGTTTACGCGAGTACGCGAGTTGACAGGCCCTCAGATTTTTGGATCTCAACAGCTGATCCGACGAACTTATAAGTGCGCTCAATCGATAGCTTGGGTTAGATTTGCATAATAAAAGTGTTTTCATTTTTCTTTTGGAATATTACAAGAGCTCGACGCATCGATCATGACTATTTTAGGCTCGCGAGTCCTCCGGGTCCCAATTTCTTTCTCCCTCGCCACGAGGGAGACGCTGCCTGAAACGCTAAACGAGCGAGACTCTCGTTAGTTGAGCGAAGGAACGGCTTCAACAGGCAGAACGAAAAAGAGACGAAGGAGGAGCTCTCGGATCGGAGCTCCGGGCGACTGCGGGTCGCGTCGCGTCGCATCGCGTCGCATCGCATCGCGGGTAGGGACGGGGCACGGGGCCACGAGACGCACGGAGGTCCCTCGCATCCTCCGATCCCCCTCGAGGGGGCTGTACATCCGTGGCGCGGCGCAGCGCGGCGCGGACACGTAGATTCTATCTCTCCGTCCATTCAGCCGCCTAGGTAATAAAACTCTCGCGTCCATTATTTACTTGCATTATCGTTACTTTACGCCCACGCGGGCGCGTCGTATTTATGGTGAAATTATTCAGCATTATTTCGCGGATATGAATAAGATGACGCCGGAGATACGTCGCCGTCGCCGTTGCGATGCGCGACTCGTGAAATCTTTCAGGCGGAAAGCGAAATCGCGC